TCTTTTATCTCCTACTCCATACTGCTTTTCACGTCAAATGGCCTGGATGAGTGTCTCTAGACATATGATTAACTTGTCTAGAGAAGTCTAACTCACTTATATAATTTTGTGTACCACAGTAAAAAATATCTATAGATTTGTAATATAGTATACAATAGGCTGCATGAATGAAAAAAGAGGATGGGTTAGTTATGTGGAAACAACGAGAGATAATTGATAGCTGGCGAGGTGAGTTGGTGGTATCCTCATGAGATTAGGAGAAGACAGGAAGACCTTTAGTACACTGGGTAGATCTTCTTTGGCAAACTAATGGGAGGTCATGAGCAAGAGTTGCATGGCTGGGTAGAACAGAACAGAGAGGAGGGTGTATTTTTATTGATGAGATCATAGATCCATTTGAGTATTGAGTATAAGGTGTATGTCCTTGTAGCCAAAATATTTGATTTTTAAAAATCTCCCCTCTAAACTATAAGCTCTGCGAGGGCAAGAAGTGTATCTTATAAAACCTTTGTATCTCTCCTGGTGTCCAGCCAAAGAGCCTTATGAACTACAAACATTTAATTAATATTAATTCCTTATTTTATCCACCCCTCTAAAAGCCCCCAATTAACTATAAAAGACATATGAAGAAAGATGCTATCTGCATCCAGAGAAAGAACTGATAAATAGAAGTATGTATAGAATAATTTTATATACATACACACACATACCTATTTGGGTCTAATAACAGCCATCTCCAGGGAGGGGGAGAGGGAGAGAAGGGGAAAAAAAGAAATTTGCATGATAATTTTGTTGTATATTTGAAAAGAATAGCAAGTTGTGCACAGTAGATTTGTAGTTTCATGTGCAATCAACTTTTTTTATAATGTACTATGTTATAGAAATGCTTGTTTTATTCCATAAATTTAAAAAACTAATTAATATTAATTAAGGAAGATGAAGGGGATTCAAATGATTAAGGGTACTTTCAGAATTACAAATAAGAACTCAACTAAGTTGTTAACTGACTAGGACCACCTTTAATAAACCCCACTATACAAAGATATTATACCCCAGCCTATGGCTGGAGAATGTAACCAAGTGTCTTCATTCAAGGCCCCCATAATGGTAGGGAAGGTTCAATTACATTCAGAGTCAAGCTTATGTCCCACCTACCAATGGTGGGCACACTTCCTTTCACTTGGGCCAGGTTATACCATAAGTTGTCCAGAGTCTAAATATAGTCTTAATATAGCCAGCCTTCAAATATCCATGTGAAAAAGCAAATGTCTGGGCTGTCAGTTTAGGCTTCTCCTTCCATTATCATTCTGTATGCCAGTGTTATTGTTGGCAAAGGGCTTAGTTCTAAATTACCCTCTAGAAGGCAAGCCAAAGTCAGCGCTGGTGGGGCTATTTGGAGTTTTCCAAAGGAAAAGGTTTGCCTACTGCACATTTTAAATTCTGCTTCATTAACAAAAATTTATTGTAGTTTTTAAAAAAATTATTTCAATATTTTTGCATGGTCTTAAAAACTCCACTGAGCCTCAGTTCAATTAATATTCTTTCAAACCAAACACCTCTTACTAATCTAGCATTCTGCCAGGCAGAAATTCCATGGCAAATATTCCAGCAACTTCAAATATGTTAAATCCCTTCTTTTAAAAAAAAAATGGTGCTTCTTCATAGAATCACAAAAACTCAGTTATCTAGTTGCATGCACCTTCCTGAGTCCAAGTCCAATGCTCTCGCCACTGGACCACCAAGAAGCCAATTCCTTCAGTCGTCATAGAGCAAGCTTTTCAGTTTTCTCCCCATCTTGGTTATTGTTTTCAAAATATGCTTTAGTTTGTCAATGTCCTTCATAAAATATGGTACTCACACCAAATATAACCCTCCAGATAAGGTCTTATACAAGCAGAGTACAGTAGGACTATCTTATTGCAGACATTCTATTTCTATTAATGTAGCCTAACATCATATCTTTTGTTGGCTGTCATGAACTGGAAATGTATTATTAGTCAGAATCAAATAATTCAATTCAACAAAGCACTGGGCGAGGCACTGGGGAAGATGAAGTTTAGGTAAGTCATGGCTCTTATTCACAAGGAACAAGTTTAGTAGTGGGGAATAAGACATCAACATTGACAATTCACAACAGATTTTGTATAAATGTTTATTTTCTTCCCTTCCCTAATACCCAAATACATCAGAGGATTACAAAACAAAGTGTTACGTGAGTGTTAGGTGAGGTCCAATGGAAAGGGTGCAGCACCATTTCAGCTTTAGTGTACTCTATAAATGGGAGCTATTATTATTCATGGGAGTAATGCTCAGGAAGAGCTCTCTAAAGGAGATGTCATTTGAGTTGGAGTTTAAAGGATGAACAGGAATTAAATAGGGAAAGAGGAGGAGGATAGACATTCCATGCCTAGTGAATGATATGAGCAAAGGCAGGAAAGTAGAAACACACAGGGAGTGTTTGGGGATCAGAGGGCAGTCCAATGGGCTTAGAGTGCAGTAACATGAGATAAGGCTGGAGAGGTGTGTGTATGAGGTGGGGAGGGGGGGGGTCACCTGATTGGGGAGGGGCTTGAATGTTAGGCAAGGAAGTCTAAACTTTACTCAGTAGTAAATAAAGAGCCACTGAAGTTTTTGAGCTAAGGAGAAGCATTACCAGATCTATGTAAGGAAGATTATTGTGGCAGAATGAATTGGAACAGGAGCAGAGAACAGAAGCAGATATTTTAAAATACTATTAAAATGGCTCAGGTATTTAGTAATGATAACCTGTACTGGGTATTATTTCAATATTTGTGGGTTGGGGGTAGAGAAACAACAAAGCAGGGAATAGTCAGGATGGGCTGGGAGAAGGGAGTGGCACGTGAAGAAAACAACTGGGGAGAGGAAATGAGTGGGAAGCAATAGTGTGTGTGTGTGTGTGTGTGTGTGTGTGTGTGTGTGTGTGTGCAGTTGTGACTAGAGAGGCCTGTTGCCACTCCATCTTCCCCTGTCCTCTGTCAACTTGTGACCTCACACAGCCCTACTTTCTCACCCTCAGTCCCTAGAGGATTGTGAATCCAGTGGACCACAAGGCACCAAGATGGTGGGCTCTGGGCTGCCATTAGAAGGAAGTGCTCAATCCCCTTCATGCTGACACATGGAGGAGTTCCAGATGCCTGGCCCTAGTTACAGTTCTGGGTGTGAGCAGTGGGAGCTGAGAGAAGGGGATGGATATAAGAGATATTGTAGAGGAAGAATTAAAGTGACTTGGAGACAAATTGGATAGGAGAAGGATGGAAAAAGGAAGAGTCAAAAATAACTGCTAGGTGGAGAACATGAGGGACTGAGTGATTAGTGGTGCCATTGACAGGAAAAAATGACATCATAAGGAAGAGCGCTTTGAGAGCAGAGTTGGCTTTATTTTTGTCTTTACACAACACCTGGCACATAGTAGGTGCTTACTGAATCGAACTGGGCAAACAAAAAATAATAAACTTAGTTTTTAAACAAATTGAGATCATATTTATAATAATTAATTTCTGGGGGGAAAACCACAAATCTTTTCATTTAAAAAATCTCTCCAATACAAAACTAATTGGATAGGGATGACTTGGGTTTTTTTTTTTAATTTTGGGAGGGCTTTTAAAAAAGTTTTCTCCATAGTTTTTTGATATTGTCATATCACTAACATATTATATCAGATATAGCTGCAATACCCAGTTTCATCTGTCTTTAGTGACACAAAATGGTAATGGGGTCATCCCACATTCACACTCTAAACTTATGCCACATCCTCACCCACTGATTTCTATTCCCTATGGCAGATCTCATTGGGTTCCCTCCTGCTATGGACACAGAACAGGAAGGTTCTTCTCTACCAGTAACATGTTTAAGATAGCTCCCATCACCCATTTCTTAGAATTTATTATGAGGAGGACAGCAAACAAGAATTGGGATCATGGGACAGAAAAGTCAATACTGCCTGCTGACATTTTGTGAGGAAATGGCAGCCTCATTGCCATGTCTCCTATTCCATCAGGAGCCTGGGAAGGCAGCCAGAGTCAGCCAATGAACGAGCAGAGTACATTAAAGTACGTGCCACGTTAAGTGCCAAATAAGTAAACAGATGAGGAGCTTGGGGGTATGAAATGAGGCTAAAGCCAAAGGAAGTTCCCTTCTGGAGAGAATTTTACTAGGAATAATAGTAGTAAGAACAACCCACATTTATAGAGTTCTTTAAGGTTTATAAAGTGTTTCTTTAGGACAATGGCTGTGTATACTATGAAATGTAGAAAAACTAATGAGTGAGTGAAAAATGAATGAAAAAGCATTTATTAAGGACTTACTAAGTACCAAGCACTATGCTAAGCACTAGGGATACAAATATAAAAATGAGATAGTACCTGCCCTCAAGAATCTTACATTCTGTGAGGTGGAGGGGATAAACATATGTATGGGAGTGATAGCTAAGCAAGGGAGTATCTGGAGAATCACAAGGATGGTAGGTTGAGTCATAGGGTAGTCAGTTGACATACCCTTTTCAGGAACAATATTAATATGGTAGTATTGATTTGATTTTCAAGACCAGAAAAGAAGATGGACAGCAAGGAAGAGGGTACATTCATGGTAGCAAGGTAGATGGTGGGATGGAATGTAAGGCATAGCCTCTTCTGGTGGTCTGGGGCCAGACAGATATAGTATACTGGTTGAATTTGCACTCATTCACTAAACAATCAAGACAGCTTGATCAGGGTAGGAGTTCCAGGGTAGGATTAACTCCCCAAGTGACTTAAGGCATTTTTTCAGGTGGCTGAGTGTAGAGGTATTGTTCTAGGTGGGATAAAAATACCTGGTTTTTCTGAAGCTATTCGCTCTGGCCTTTTTTGTAGTTCAGCACAAACCAGGGTAGCTCCAGAGAGTCTCTGCTGAGGCTGGAGATTAGAGAGGTAGTCACAGGTCAGTGGCATTTATGACCATGCTTGGTTACCCTATGATAGACCAGCATGTTTTTGTTCATACAGGCCCATGGAGAGACTGTCTTCAGGCACTGGAGGATGGCCATGACACCAGTTCCATTTACCTTGTGAAGCCTGAAAACACTAATCGACTTATGCAGGTTTGGTGTGACCAGAGGCATGACCCCGGTGGCTGGACTGTTATACAGAGACGACTTGATGGATCTGTCAACTTTTTCCGGAACTGGGAGACTTATAAGGTAAGAGCCAGTGACAGTCACCTTTTTTGTCTCACTCAATAAACTCTAGGGGCTTCCTACCACCTCCAGGATCAAATATGAAATCTAAAAAGTTCTTCACAGCCTGGTCCCTTTGTATTTTTCCAGTTTTATTACATTTTCCTCCCCATGACACTTCATCTTCTGACTATGCCTTTTCATTGGCTGTCCTCTATACCTGGAATGCTCTTTCTCTGATTGTCTCTGCCTCCTGGCTTCCCTGAAGACTCAGCTCAAATCCCACCTGCTGCAAGAGGCCTGCTCTAATCTCTTCCCCAAACACATACATTAATTAGCTCCTTCCCTGTAAGTATACCTTCCATTTTTATTGGATATAGCTTGTATATACCTAGTCATTTACATGTCTTTCTCCGTTATAAGGTGAGCTCCTTGGGAATCTTTCCCTGTATCCTTAGCACTTAGCACAGTGTATGACACATAGTAAATGCTTAATAAATGCTTCTGACTTGTTGACTTGACAAAAATCCTATGAACTCTACTGATTTTGAAGGAAGGACTTTTCATTGAAAGAAGGATGTTATCTATTCAGGAAAAAAAAACTTGCTTTGTTAAATGTTACCTGAAAAGATATTTTCAGCAAGAAGGTCAATAATTACAAAGCAACTACAATATAAATCTAATGAGGAGGTTTATGATAATACTTTCTCTAAAAACACCTTCCACTAGGAACTACCTTATTCTTGTTGAGCCTCTTGAATCACTCACTATGGAAGCCCAGAGTCACTCAATCTTTTTTCCTTACAAGTCTCATGTGGTGAAATTGGAATTTATTTCTGGTTTAGAGGAAATACCTTTACCCCCAATACTGGATGTGAGAAAAAACTTTCACTCCCAGCCCTAGGTGTGGAAAATACTCTCACTCCTCTCTTGGGTGTGGAAAAATACCCTTGATTCCATCCCTGGATATGGAAAAAAAATCTCATTTCCATCCTCTGTGTATGAGAGACATATCCTCCTTTCCATGCCTAGATGTGGAAAAATATCACTACCAAGCCAGGGCATGGGAAATACCCCTTCTTTTAGCCCTGGGCAGGGCAAAAAAACCCTTGCTCTCAGCCCTGCATATGTGAAATACCTGTACTTTTATGTCTGAATTCAGAGAACTTTCACTTCTAGCCCTAGAAAATAGTTTCACATTCAACCATAGGTGTTGGAAAACTTCTTGTTCCTTCCCTGAGGATGTGGAAGTCCTCCATTCTAAGATCTAAGTGAGACTCAAAGAATTGCTTCTACCAGAGAAGAAGCCCATATTTTTATTAGAACAAGAGTATCTACTCTAATTACTGAGATTCCCAAGGTGCTGCTTCACATACCAGGCTAGTCAGAAGCTGCTGAGGTTGGTTACAAGCTGGAGGCTTCTCTGCTCTCTTCTATCTCTCTACCTTCTCAGGTTCACATTAAATACTTCTTCCCTCATCTTCCTCCCTTCTGCTGGAAAAATAATTCAGGAACTGATTATAGATGATTATATTCTATTGTCGTGATTGCTATAACAGTATTTCTTTGCTATAACATAGTATTTATTTTTGCACAGTATGTCAGCTCAGAGGTCTCCTCTATCTTGAAAGAAAAAACTTTCACTTAATTATGCAGCCTCCCTTCCCCCACCTCCTGGCCACCATCCTATTTTCTTTTCTTTCCATCACCAAATTCCCATACCAGTGCATATTCCTATTGCCTCCAAAGCATCCCACTCTGTCCCTTACTAATTCTCTTCAATCTGGCTTTCAAAATTGCTTTCTTGAAGGTTGGCAATGATCCTTGCCAAATCCGATGGTCATGCTACTCTCTTTCTTCTCAATCTCTTTCCAGGATTTGGCAGTTGACCATACCCTCCTGCTTGAAATTCTCTCTTCTGTTGGCTTCCCTTTTATTACACTGGACTGGTTCTCTCTCAACCTCTTTGACAGCTTCTCTTTTTTTCTTTGCTGGCTCCTCTTCTTTCCACCTAACTCTAGGCATTCCCCCAAGGATTAGTCATTGGCCCCCTGCTCTTATTTCTGCCTCCTACATATTTCTTGCTATCATCTCAAACTCAGAATATCTAAAACCAAACTAGTCATCCTTTTCCCCAAAGCAGCTTCCCTCTCAAATTCCCTATCTCACAGAATCATAGGATTATAGTTAGAGCCAAAAGGGATCTTAGAGGTCCTCAAGTCCAACCCCTTCATTCTACAGATGAATAAACTGAGGCAGTAAGTGTTCTAAAGATGGGATTTGAATCCATATGTTCCTGACTCCAGTGCCCCTGTCCACTATACTACGATTCCTGTCATCTCTGTTAGTAAGTACCTTCCTTCCAGTTGCTCCAGAGTAAAACCAAAATCACAGAATTTTAACTTAGATGGGACCTTGGAGACCACCTAGTTTAATCCCCTCATTTTACAGAGGAAGAAACTGAGGCCCACATATTTAAAAGGACTTTCCAAGGTCACATGACAAGTAAATCGCAGAGCTGGCTCTTGACCTCACTTGATGACAAATCCAGGGCTCCCCAAACCACACCACACCTCCTTAGAGTCATACCTATCTCTTCCTTCATGGCTAGTACTCAGTCTTGTCCAATTTTCCATTGAAACATCATATCTTGTATCTGTCCCTTCTTCTAGGTCCTTACTGCCACCATCCTAGTCTCTAGATTGCTACCATAACCATCTTGATGCTAGTCTCTATTCTCCTGACACAACTCTTGAGCAAATCAATTTCCACCCCTCACACCATCTGAGTGATTTTGGCTAAGTCACTTAATCTGTCTGGGCCTCAGTTTTCTTGTCTGTAAAATGAAGGTGTTAGATGTTCTCTGAGGCCCCTTCCCACTCTAGAGAAAGGAGTTGGTTATTCAGTTGTCAATAAGCATTTAAATACTTACTATCTGCCAGGCTCTGAAATAGGCATGGGGGAGAGACACAAAAAGAAACAAAAATAGTCTCTCTCCTCTCTCTTTCCTCCCCACAAGGAGCTCACATTCAAATAGAAGACAGCAACATTAAATAACTGGATATATACAAGATATACATAGAACAAACAGAGAATAATCTCAAAGGAAAAGCCATTAGTAACTGGGAAATTTGGGAAAGGCCTGGTGTAGAAGGTAGTACTTGAGCTGAGTATTGAAGGAATTCAGAGAAACCAGGGAGCAGAGGTGACGGTACAGAGCATTCCAGGCATGGGACACAGCCAGGACAAAGGCATGGGGATGGAATATGGAGTGTTGTGTTTGAGGACCGCCAATAGGCCAATGAAGCTGAATTGTAAAGTGCATGGAGAGGAGGAAAGCATAAGAAGGCCACAGGAAGAGGCTACATTATGAGGAGTTTTAAATGCCCAACAGAAGGTTTTATTTGATCCTTGAGGAAATAGGGAGCCATTGAAGTTGGTTGGGCAGGGAAGATTACATGACCAGACCTATGCTTTAAAAAAAATATATATCTTGGCAGCTGAGTTGAGAATAAATTATTGTAGAATGAGATTTGAGGCAGAGAAAAGAGTCAAAAGTCTATTACAACAGTATAGGCAAGAGGTGATGAGTCTCTGATCTAGGGGCTGTGGGTATGTGGGTAGGAAGAAGGGAACAAAGATGTTGGGAGGGTATAAATGACAATATTTGGCAACAGACTGACTATGTGAGGTGAGGAACTGGGGATGACTCTAAGATTGTAGACCTCGGTGACTGGGAACATGGCAATGAGGACAATTTTCTGAATAAGTTTAGAGGGGATGAGATTAAGGGGGCAAATGACCCCCTCCCTCAGCATCTATGATCCCAAGCCCTGTCTTCATTATTTCATTCTCCTGCTTACAAACCCTATTTTTACTATACTAATCCAAAACTCCTCTGCCTACCTATCAATGTCCTACATTCAGAAGAGCACTCATCTTGGAGTAAAAAGAGTTGAATTCCTATGCTGACTCCCACAATTGTAAGGTGTGGGGTTGTGAACAAGCCACTTCCCTATTATATATCTCACTTACTCCATTTGTGAAATAGGGTAACGATCTTGATGCTAAGTCACAGGGTTGTTGAAGGGAAAATAAAAATGTCCCAAAAGTCTTAGTGCTGTTTTAAGCTAGTATAGCTTAAACGTTTAAACTTAAATAAATTTAATTTAAGGTTTTTAGTCTTGGGCATGAGTTCTTTGTAATTTGTATTTCCTGTTGCATTTTCTATTTTGCTTAGTTCTGCTGAGTGAAATAAGGTCTCTTCTACAATTCAAAAACAACTTAAAATTTAAGCTTATATGTTGAGGTTTTAATAGCTTAAAAACACCATGAAGACTTTTGGGATACCCAGTACTTTGTAAACCTTGAAGTGCTACAGAAATAGAATGCTATTCATTATTACCTCTCTAATCTTATTGGCCAAACTTTTAACGATAGTTGGTTCATCTACTCATGGTCCCATGAACACATTGTCTATGTGCTTTCCGTTATGTCTGTCTTCTTGCCTAGAATTCCACTCCCCCATCAGACTCCTTCTGAGCTCAACTCAGATCAAACCTCTTCCATTAAGCTTTCCCTATTAACTCCAGTCCACAATGATCTCCCTCCTTCACTGAATGCCAGCTATTCTCAAAGTTGGTCCCACACACAATCTCAAATTTAAATAATGACCTTTTTTTTTTTTAGTAACAAATCTGGCCTTCCTGATTAAAATAACAAATGATAATAACTAGCAATTATATAGCACTTTATGGTCTGTAAAGCACTTTATATACATACCTTGATCCTTAAGGTAATCCTTTGAGGTAGGTTCTATTATTACCCCCATTTTAAAGATAAGGAAAACCACACAGTTATTGAGAGTCTGATGAAGAATTTGAACCCAGAGCTTCCTGATTCTAAGTCCAGTGTTCTATTCAGCATACCACTCCATATTAAACTGTGGTCTCCTGGAGGGCAGGAATCTTGTTTTCTATTTTTGTATTCCTTATCCTTGGATAAACATGTTGAGTCTATTCCACAGATCATAGATATCAGAATAGACACAACCTTGGAGGTCATTTGATCCAACTCTTACCTAAGCAGGAATCCCTTCTAAAATGTCCCTCAAAAGGCTTCCCTTGGATTCCCCTTAAAGATTCTCCAACAAAGGGGAACTTACTATGTCCTAAGCCATCATCATAGAAATATAGCTTTAGAGCTCCAAAGGACCTCAAAGGTCACCTAGCTCTACTCTCTCATTTTACAGATGAGGTACCAGAAGCCCACGTGGATTAGACGACTTTCCCAAAGGTCACATAGGAGCAGGACTCAGACTCAGGTCCTTTGATTGTAGGTTAGCAATGTACTAGAGCCAGCTCTAACAGGAAAGCTAACTGTTAAAATATAAGGGTAAGCATTTACACCTTGAAAATAAGCAAAAGCTACAATCAGGACTTGATTTATTGTTTTGTTGATTGACTAAACTCAAGAAAGTGAGGAATGATGATAATAATACAGATTAAATTTATAAGTGTGTTATGTATATGTCCTCTCTCCCACCACAGGAGAGCTGGTTGTTAAATCAGCACATCCCTACTCCAGAGTCAGTGCTTTTTGTTGTTGTATCATGCAATTTCTCCTCATTTCACTTTTGGACAGCTCTATTGATCTCCTCTAGATGAGGGAAGTAAATGAACAATTCTCTTTTCCTGGTTACAAAAGCACAGCTATTTGAGTGTGCCCTGAATACTAACTCCAGAGCTCCAAGGACCACCACTGAGGGGCAGATGTTGGGTACAATGGCACTAACTAGAGAGTCTGGAGTCAGAAAGACCTGAGTTAAAACCAGACCTCAGACGCTTCCTAGCTGTGTGACCTTGGGCAAGTCACTTAATCCTGTTTGCCTCAGGTTCCTCATCTATTAAATGAGTTGGAGAAGGAAATGGTGATACTTTAGGATCATTGCCAAGAAAACTCCAAAGGGGATCATGAAGAATTGGACATGACTGAAATAATTGAACAACAATAACAAAGAGGGTTATCAGACCTGGGAGTACCAAAACTGAATCTGCATTCATTGGACCTCACCCACTTTGAGAGTTAAAATGACAGTAAAGAAGGCTGGGGGGGGAGGGGAGAAGGGAGAGATTATGTGGGAAAGGAGAGCATACTCCATATTCCCATTATTCTTCTTGGCTGACCTTTCTTCAGGCTGCCTGTATGAACTTAACCTATGGTGACAGCTTCAGGGAATTACCTTCAAAAACAGGAAATATGCTAATTTATTGAAGAGGAAATAAGTCCAAAGCATAAAGTCTCTTTTTACTACAAGCATTGCCAAAGAGTGGGTCAGTCATTTTACCAGATGTGACTGGTCCCCGTGACTGCATATGCTAACACTGTTTCTTTCTTTACAGCAAGGATTTGGTAACATTGATGGAGAGTATTGGCTGGGTCTAGAGAACATTTATTGGCTCACAAACCAAGCCAACTACAAATTGCTCGTAACAATGGAAGACTGGTCTGGCCGAAAAGTCTTTGCAGAATATGCAAGCTTCCGCCTGGAGCCAGAAAGTGAATATTACAAGTTGAGATTGGGGCGGTATAATGGCAATGCTGGCGACTCCTTCACCTGGCACAACGGGAAGCAGTTCACCACCTTGGATAGAGACCATGACGTCTATGCAGGTATGAGGGCCGAAAGACAGTACTTCACAACAGTATTTGGTAGAACCATCCATTTCCATACACAGCTGGATTGTCAATTGTAAAATTATTAGTCTGTCCAAGCCAGTCCAAGACCACACTCAGGCAGACACTTATATTAGGGAGAGAGGTACCTGCTGGTGGATTCCTCTCTTTGAAGTAGGAAAACCATAGCAATACCTCTTCATAGTCAAGAGTGATTAAGGATACTGTAGCAATAGGAAGGAGGAAATCTGAAATAAGTTATTTATTTCTTATGACATATGGTCTAGGGAGTTGAGAAGAAAAGATTTAGGACGATGGGGAGGGGAGTGCAAATATGATCCTTGACTTCAAATAGCAGAAAGACTGACATATAGAAGAGCTTCTAACCTCACAAAGAAGAGCTGGGACTAATAGGTAGAAGTTACACGAAGATGGATATTAGCTCAATATAAGGAAACACTTTCTAATAATCAAAGCCTTAGTACCATAGAATGGGCTGCCCCATGAAGTAGTGAGCCCTCTACGATGAAAGTGTTCAGAGAATGAAAGATCATTTCTCAGGGATACTGTAGAAGAGAGGGATCAAACTCACTTCCAGCCATCTGCAGAACTCCCCAGTATAGTTTGGATCAGATTAAAATGTAATTGGAAAATGTTTGACAAGATAAATCAAACCAAACTGTTCTTCTGGTTTGGCTATTTCCATTAACAGCACCATTTCCCTGATCTTCCAAATCTGTGATTTCAGGGCTACCTTGAGCCTTTATCTTTTCCTTATGCCTTTCATCCAATCAGTTATCAAGTCCTATTGATTCCAATTATGCAACATCTGTCCCATTTATTCTCTCCTTTCTATTCCCATTGACATTTCTCTGATACAGGGCATTTATTAGTATTTTCTTGGTGTACTGCTATAACCTCCTACTAGGTCATTCTGCAATCACTCTTTCCCTACTCTAATTGGTTCATCATATCAGTGCCAGAATGATCTTTCTTATGTATAGAATTGGTCATACTCGTCCCACTTCAAAATCTTCAAAGACTCATTGCCTACTGAGTAAAGTTCAAACTCCTCTGCCTGACATTCAAGAATGCCTTCCCTATTTACTGTCCCCTTACCTTCCCCTACCTTACCTCATATCATTTCCCTCTTGTCCTCTATACCAGTAGTGTCAAACTCATATAGAAACAGATCCCTATGGGCTGCATATTGACTTAGAAAAACACAAGTTAACATTATTTGTGTTGTAAGGACACACTTGGGATTTTTTGGTGGCCTTTGAGTAATACCTCTGTTCTACACTCTAGCCAGACTAGACTCTGCTTTCTCCTTTTTATACTCTCTGAAATTTCCTACCTCCAGGTCTAGAATACCTTTTCCCTCCCTCTTTTCCTTTACTAAATTCCTGCCCATTTATTAAAACCAGATTCAAATGCCACTTTCTCAACAAAGCCTCTCCTGATCCCCACTCATTGACCTGAAAAACATTCTTCCCCATTAGAACTTTTCCCCATAGTCCTTTGCTTTGTAAATTTCAAATGCATTTATGTGTTACTGTTACCTGTACTGGTGTGTCTTGTCCCTTGGTTAAGCTCCATGAGGTCAGGGTCCACATTTGATCTAAACTTTGTACTTTCCCCAATACTTAGCTCCACATAAAGCATGCACTCAAAAATGTTTGTTAAATGATAGAAACCATTTTATTACTCCCCTTTATACATTCCATATCAACTAATCAATCAATAATAACTTATTAAGTGTCTACCACATGCCAGGCATTGTGCAAGGCAACAGTAATACAAAATATAAAAGCTTCTACCTATGATGGAGCTTATATCCTTTTGATTCTAGCTGAAGTAGACTATTAATTTTCCTCATTCTTGACATGTCTTCTCATACCTATATTCACCCAAGCTTTTAACCAAGCCAGGACCAGCAGTATAGTACAGTGAGAATAGAACTAGATTTTGAGTCAGAGGAACTGGGTTTTAATCCCAGCTCTTCCACTTAATACCTGTATAATCTTGGATAAGGCATTAAAACTGTCTGAGCATCAGTTTCTCACCTGTAAAATTAAGGAGCTGGACTAGAAGGCTTTCAAGGCCTCATTGGGTTCTGAATCTATGATTTTATGTTCTATGAGTATATTCCCTCCTCATCCCTGCCTGTTTAAATGCCCGCTCCCTATTCTGTGAATGCTCACCTGACTCTCTCCAGCTGGCACCTCCTCTGACTTCCCTGAGTCACTTTGTTTGGATCTCTCTTTTGTCTCATCACATTCTCCTTCATAGTTCACTTCCTTGTGTACATGTCATATCCTACTATTGGACTATAAACTCCTTGGATTATTATTAATTTTTGTATTCTTAGCACTCATCCTCAAGAAAAAAATAAAACCACCTCTCATTTCCAGAGTATCTTCCCATGTCTCTGTGAAGCTGGGAAGACTGCCCCATGTTTATGTAAGGGTAGGAGAATTTGCCTTTTTTCTTTCTGCCAGGAATACTCTATGCTAATTTAACTCAAGAGTGTACCTCATTATACACAGAGGAGGGCAAGTAGGCTAAATATACTCCTCTTTGTGGGTAAACCTCACCTGTTTTTCTGCTTTTCCTCCAGGAAATTGTGCTCACTACCAGAAAGGAGGCTGGTGGTACAATGCCTGTGCCCACTCCAATCTCAATGGGGTTTGGTACCGAGGAGGTCATTATCGAAGTCGCTATCAGGATGGAGTCTATTGGGCCGAATTCCGAGGAGGGTCTTATTCTCTTAAGAAAGTGGTGATGATGATTAGACCAAATCCCAACACATTCCACTAAAAGAAGCTTCTCTCTTCCAACCTTGGACTCCCATCTGCCACCACCCAGCCTGAGCAAAAGCTGAGCAAACTCCCCAGAAATCATCTCTTCTGCAGCCTGGAATGCCAGGTCTTTGAGGTTTGTTACAAGGAAGCAAGGACTTGTTGCTGCATCCGATTTTCATAAACCATTGCCACAGATAACTTAATTCAAATGATGCAGTATTCTCTGCCCGTGAGACCTTTCTTCATGCCAGGAAGCAACTAATGTAGCCTGTTCTTATAGACAGAAGAGGAAAAGGGTAAGACTGCAGATAGTTTTTCTAAGGAATTAGCTCTCAATACTGGGAACACATAACAGCAGAATATTTTTATTTTACATAAGTGTATGTTTTAACATACACTGTTACACAAGTGTATATGTATACATACATATGCACTTATGGTTTCAGTTCTCAAGTGTTTGAGCTACTACAAACTGGTCAATCATCCTCGTCACAGGAAGCTATCTCCTTTGAAACAACGTACAGCACTTGACAAACCAACAATCGGCTACCAGTGAGATTAAACTCAATTTACGCTTCATTATCTCAAATTGAGAAAGGATACACTTGAATAGTCCAACAAGTGAATGTGTGTCCACCATTCAAAGACACTCATTGCACTAGATGACCTCTGAAGTCCCTTCCAACTCTGAGATGCTATGATTCAATGGTTCTTGGAATCATCTTTAGTATTAATGTCTCAGATACAGCAGGTTCCTAGCTTTCTCTGTCAAGGCATGCTGTTGGTATTCAACCAAGTTTCAGGGACTTTCTTTCCATTTCTGCACTTCCATTTCTCCTCCATTTTCCTCTCAGCATGAAAAGGCACAGATCTTTTCTCCTCCTCAATAATTACTGCTGTCCTTAACTACATTTCCCCTTTCCTTATAATCATACAGGCTCCATTCTTCTCCTCTTAGCAGTACCTTCTGGTCAAAGAATTCTTTAAGAATGAGGTCTTAGGACTCCTAAGCCCTTGGGCAGGAGGTGGGCTGGGGCCCAGGCTTCTGCTCAGGAAAGGAGTCAGTCAATGTTATAATCTTAACACCTACTCCATAGCTCATGAGTGAATTTTCATTCACATTTTGGCCAATACATCATTTCAGCCTTCACACAAATAACAGCCTACATCTTTCACTGTGTGCTGTATCTAAGTTCAGTCAGCACCTAGACATTTAAGCCAGAAAATGGCTCCAGACCAAAAACCAACCCATCAGGTCATGAACACCAATGGACGATGCCAACAAAACACTGATGCCTGATCTCTAGATACAAGATCACTTTACTCTGAGAAAGCAATGTCATCAAGAACAATATCATCCAGTTAATTTACCTGTCCTACCCAATATGGAATTTGCCAATTTGTTTGTGAAGAGCACAACTACCTTACAGAACCTTGACCCTATCAATCTTGCCAGCTGACGTAATTTTCTAGCTTAATGTTATCATAGTACATGTTGCAAAATGAAATAATATGATGGGCTAACAATTAGGGAAGCTCTTGGCAGTTCACCAATATCACACAATAAATCTGTGAGATCCCCATGCCTTATTATATACTGTACATACATGTGTGTGTGCCTGTTCCCCTTATACCTCAGTATTTCTCAAAATAATGTATGATGTGTATTAAAGTGATGTCTGATGTAGCATGTGTTGTATATATAAAAAGTAGGGTTTTTAATATATTCCCAAATTATCCTTGTAATGACACAAATCTGCAATAAAAATCCACAAATGCTATTTTGATGTATTCATATGGCGCCTTATTATTTTGAAAGTCCTTCCAAATGCTTAACCTATGAGATCTTCTTCAAATAAAAACAGGAAGTGAGAGAGAAATGTAAAGGAGGTCTACTGGCCTTAATTCAGATGAAATGTGACCATTAAAAGAAGCAAGATGTGTGTGAATTTTCCAATAAAATGATCTGAAAAATTTCCCTAGGTATGCAGCATCATGGTACCTTTGTTCAAGTCCAGGTGCCCCAGGATTCTAGATGCTTATTCACAGAATCTCAGCTTCTCAGAGTGGAAAGGAACCAGAAGCCCCCCGCCCCAGTCAAATCCCTATCTGGACAAGAATCTTCACCATAACATACCCAACAAATGTGGCTTCATATGGAGACCTCTCTCAAGGGAGAGCCCATTTCCTCCCAAGGTAGCCCTCTCTATTTTGCAGACATTGAAATTGCTAGGAAACGTTTCCTTATATCACATCAAAATGTAACTCTCCTCATCAACCCATTGCGACTGAGTTCTGTCTATTTTAGCAAAATAAGTAGCGCTTTCAATACCTGAAAGCTATCATGCTAATCTCCTGCCCCCAAACTCTTGTCTTCTCCAGACTAAACAACCCCAATTTCTTCAACCTATCCTCATATGTCAAAGTTTCCAATCCCCTTACCATCATAATCACCTTCTTCTTAATACTCTCCAGATTATCAATGCCCTTATTAAAATGTGATGCCCACTTCTAAACATAGTACTCTAGATAATGTCTTGATAAGGTCAGAATATAGTGGAACTATTATTTCCCTTTACTGGACACTATGCTATTATAAATGGGGTCCAAGACCAAATTCACTTTCGTTGCTGATAATTCACTTTTGGCTCATATCAAGCTTGTAGTCTGCTCAGACTGCCCCCTCTCCCCCCTCCCCCCACTCAGGTCATATGAAAATACTAATCGGTATCTTGGCTGCCAAAGTGGAGGTAGGAAGTACTCTCCTCTAGAAGAGGCCTTCTAGCTCTGGCGCAGACATGTACATGCACCCAAAGATACTCAGGACCTAAGAATGAGATCTACTGAACAGCTGTACAGGTGATATGGATAGTAGGTTTTTCTCCTTTCTTTTAAAGGAATAATGGAAATCTATACAATTTGTCAGTAAAAAAAAAAGGCCTTTACATCTGGAGATACTGGAATGGGGTCACATTGGGTGGGCACTATTACTCTAAGGAGGCTGCTAAAATTCCCCCCACTGAGAACAGGCCTCCAGAGGGTATGAAAGGGAGGTCCCCTGGTAGAAGGCAACTGGAAGAAGATGCAGCCCTGATTCCAGAAGATGGAAAAGTCATGAAGGTGGAGGAATAGAATTCTAAGGACCTTCCAAATTCAAGGCCAAGATGTCCTCTTGTTATAGACATTCTTGTGGCAAAAAAGGGTCAATTCTGAGCCCTTAAACAATATGACTTCCCTTGTCTCATACAAAGATGTATTAGCCCTAGAAACACAAGAACCAACAGAATTGCCAGAAGTCTCTAAATCTAGAGTTTGCCATGGCAAACACCCCACAAATATAACATAAGAAAGTGACTCATACAATGGCAGAGCTTCTGAACACAAGTGTATTCATAAGCCATATGTCATAACTCAGTAGTGCAAGACCTTGTTCACTTGCCAATGAGTCTGGGTCAGCTCAAATGCCAACTCCTCCATGAAGTATATGCAGTGTTGTACATTGGAGTGCTAGACTTGGAGTTAGGACCTGGGTTCCAGACCAGGCTCCAATGCTTACAGTAAGCATGTGTCATTTAGCTTCTCTCAGTTTCCAGTTTCCTAATCTGTAAAATGGAGAGTTCACACTACCTATTCCAAAGGACTGCTGGGAGGAAAGTACCCTATAAACCTTAAAGCACTAAATCAACACAGGTTACTGTAAATCTTATCTAAATTGTATTTTTCCCCTAGATCCTAGCATAGGGCTCTTAAAACAATAGGCCCATAATAAATGTTTATTCAACTAAATTATCTATATTTCATATACCTGTACTAGACTGTAAATTCCAGGAGGGACTATGTCTTATTAAAATGTAGGGGACAGAGTCAAGATGGCGGAGGGAAAGCAGTGACTTGCTAGAGCTCTCCCCCAAACTCCTCCAAATACCTACAAAAAATGACTCTAAACAAATTCTAAAGCAGCAGAACCCAGAAAAAAAAACAGAGTAAAACAAATTTCCAGCCCAAGACAACCTGGATGGCTGATCAGAAAGGTCTGTCGTGCCAGGCTGGGAGAAGAGCACAGTTCGGTGTGGGTGCGCCGGCCGCAGCAACCCTGGAGCAGGCCTCAGAGGACTGAATCACGGGCACCGTAGCAGTTTCCAGACTTCTCAACCCACGAACGCCAAAGACAACTTAGAGGGTCAGTGGGAAAAGTCTGTTACTGCGGTGAGAGAAGAAGCTAGATCTCAGCCACCCTGAGGGCAGCGGCTGGCTTCTGAGCTTCTGGCCCACAGACTGAGGGGGAATCGAGTGGCTGATCAGAGGGGGATTGCAAGGATCTCTTTGCCAGGGCTGAGGCAGGAATCTCTTGCTTTGCCCGTGCTTGGATCTGGGTCACAGTTCTGAGGGGTGGTCCTGGGGCAAGGAGGAGCGCTGGCGTGGTGGAGCTTGTTGTGGAGATGGAGAGGAAACACCTTGCCCCTTATCATAGCACCTTGGAAGAACTGACACTTTTCAGGTCCCTAGAAGTATCTCTGAAAACAGCTGTACAAACCCCCAAAGCCTGGGACAGTACATTCTCCACATTGGAAACAGACTCTTACCATAACAAAGAGTTTAAAACTCAAGTAATTGGTTGGGATCATGAGCAAGCATTACAAAAACAGTCAGACTATATTATCTTACTTTGGTGACAAAAAAGATCAAAACATACAACCAGAAGAAGAAAACAAAGTCAAAGCTCCTACATCCAAAACTTCCAAGAAAAATATGAATCAGTCCCAGGCCTTTGAAGAGCTCAAAAGGGATTTTGAGAAGCAAGTAAGAGAAGTAGAGGAAAAACTGGGAAGAGAAATAAGTGATGCAAGAAAATCATGAAAAGCAAGTTAACAGCTTGCTAAAGGAGACCCAAAAAATACTGAAGAAAATAACACCTTAAAAAATAGCCAAATGGCGAAAGAGGTCCAAAAAGCCAATGAAGAGAAGAATGCCCTAAAGAGCAAAATTGGACAAATGGAAAAGGAAGTCCAAAAGATTACTGAAGAAAATACTTCCTTAAAAATTAGAATAGAGCAATTGGAAGCTAGTGACTTTATGAGAAATCAAGACATTGTAAAACAAATCCAAAAGAATGAAAAATTAGAAAACAATGTGAAATATCTCATTGGAAAAACAACTGACCTGGAAAATCGATACAAGAGAGAGAATTTAAAAATTATTGGACTATCTGAAAGCCATGATCAAAAAAAGAGCCTAGACATCATCTTTCAAGAAATTATCAAGGAAAACTGCCCTGATATTTTAGAACCAGAGGGCAAAATAGAAATTGAAAGAATCCACCCCTGAAAGAGATCCCCAAAGGAAAACTCCTAGGAATATTGTAGCCAAATTTCAGAGTTCCCAGGTCAAGGAGAAAATATTACAAGCAGCCAGAAAGAAATAATTCAAGTATTGTGGAAACACAATCAGGATAACACAAGATTTAGCTGCTTCTACATTAAGGGACCGCAGGGCATGGAATATAATATTCTGGAGGGCAAAGGAGATAGGATTACAACCAAGAATCACCTACCCAGCAAAACTGAGTATAATTCTTCAGGGGAAAAAATGGTTATTCAGTGAAATTGAGGACTTTCAAGCATTCATGATGAAAAGATCAGAGCTGAATAGAAAATTTGACTTTCCAATACAGGACTCAAGTGGAACATGAAGAAGTAAACAGGAAAGAGAAATCATAAAAGACTTATTAAGGTTGAACTGTTTACATTCCTGCATGGAAAGATAATATTTGCAACTCATGAGACCTTTGTCAGTATTAGGGTAGTTGGAGGGAAAAAATTATATGTATGTACATATATATAGATGGATAGATAGATAGATAGATAGATAGATAGATAGATAGATAGATAGATAGATAGATGGATAGATACAGGGCACAGGGTGAGTTGAAGATGAAGGGGTCCTATCTGGAGAATAAAATTAAGAGGTGAGAGAAGATTATACTAGGAGAAGGAGAAAGGGAAAGGTAGAACAGGGTAAATTATCTCACAAAAAAAAAAAACAGAAAAGAAAAGGCTCTTACAGTGGAGGGGAACCGGGGGAAGATGAGAGGAAATGAGTGAATCTTATTCTCATAGGATTTGACTTAACGAGGGTATAACATACACACTCAATTGGGTATGGAAATCTGTCTTACCCTACAGGAAAATAGGAGGGGAAGGGGACAAGAGAGTAGGGGGATGATAGAGAGAAGGGCAGATTGGGAAAGGGGGTAATCAGAAGCAAATGCTTCTGAGGAGGGACAGGGCCAAAAGAAAGAATAGAATAAATGGGGAGGCGGGATAGGATTAAGGGAAATAGAGTTAGTTTTTCACAGCATATCTACTACAGAAGTGTTTTGCATAACTGTACATATATAATCTATATTGAGTTGCTTGCCTTTTCAATGAGGGTGGGTGGGGAGGGAGGAAGGGAGAAAATTTGGAACCCAAAGTTTAAAAAACACATGTTTAAAAAAAATGTTTTCACATGCAACTGGGAAATAATAAATACAGGAAATGGGGTACAGAAATCTATCCTGACCTTCAGGAAAATAGAACGGGAAGTGGGGGGAGAGATAGTAGGGAAAGCAGACTAGGGGAAGAGGTGTTCAGAATGCATGCCATCTTGGGGTGGGGGGAGGGGCGAGATGGGGTGAAAATTTGGAACTCAAAATCTTGTGGAAGTAAATGTTGAAAACTAAAAATAAAAAAATTTAAAATTAAAAAATAAAACAAAATAAAATGTTGTAAACTCTCCAGCA